CTCCCCATGATGTCTATAGAAGCTTTATTCATATTTGCAAACTAAATGCAAACAAGAACTTCAGTAGGTGAATGGGTTAACAAACTGGTACATCCTTACAGTGGATTATTATTTAGCAAAAAAAGAATTGAGCTGTGAAGATCTGAAAAGACGTGGAGGAACCTTAAATTATACTGCCGTGTGAAAGAACCTAGTCTGATGGCGCTACATACTTTATGATTCCAACTACATGACATAGTGGAAGCCAAAACTATGGAGACTGTAAAAAGGTCAGTGGCTGTGAGGGGTTGGAGAGAAGTAGAACGGTGCCAGTAGACTTGCTTGATGCAGGGTTGCCACTACAAAACTACAACTTATAAAACACACAGTATCTGTGAAACACAATAAAATGTAATACACCTGTATACTATTAGAATGGTCAGAATCGAGATCACCGGCAAACCAGTTACCAGCAAGGGTGTGATACGAAAGGAACTCTTACTCGTTGCTTCTGGGAATGCAAATGGAACAACTACTTTGAAAGCCAGTTTGGTTTGTTCTTACAAAATAAAATATTCTTTTTCCACATGATTTGCACTCATACTCCTTGGTATTTACCTGAATTATGCCTCACAAAAACAGGCACACAGATGTCTACAGCAGCTTTATTTGTAATTTCAAAATCTTGGAAGCAACCAAGATATCTTTTAGGAAGTGAATGGATAAACCGGGGTACATCTAGACGGTGGAATATTGTTCAGTTCTAAAAATAAGAAAAATAATGAAATTAAATGAAAATAAATGAGAAAACATGGGAGAAAACTGAATGTGTATTACTAAGTATAAAAAGCCAGACTGAAAAGGATACATACTGCATGATATCAATTGTATGACCTTCTGGAAAAGACAAAACTATGGTGCCAGCAGAAAAATGAGTGGTAACAAAGAAAGAATGAGTAGGAGGAGCTGAGAGGATTTGTAGGGCAGTGAGCCTACTCTGCATATTAAAAGGTTTGTTGCACTTCATTTGACATTTTTCAAAACCTATAGAATGTGGAAGGCCAAGATCAGGTCCCAATATAAACGATATACTTTGGGTAATATTGATGTGTGAATGCAGGTTCATTAGTGTAACAAATGGGTCACCTTGGTGGGGGATGTTGATAATGTAGGAGACCATGCTTGTATAGGGGCAGGAGCTATATGGGAAATCTCTGTAATTTTGGCTCAATTTTGTGTAAATCTAAAACTGCTCTAAAAATATCAGTTCATTACAAAATAGTTTACAGAATTACTTGGTTCAACTGACTACTTTAGGAAAGGTTTAGTATGTTTTGTAGTACCTGATAAAACTAGCCAACAAAAAAATCAGTAATTACAATGAGCACTTGAACAATATGATTAACAACCCAACCTAATGCCTACATGTAGAACACTGTTCACAACATTGTTGCCATTGTGTCTCTAATGACTTCTAGGACACCTTCCTTCTGGCTGGGACAATGCAACTGGTCATCTGGGCAGGGAACAGCCCCATGTTTGGGGATTGTTTGTGAATAGCTGAGGAGAGGGTAGAAGAAAGTTGATTATCTGGGATGAGGATATGAAGATACACATTTGGACAGCCAGTCTAGGGATTAGCCCAAGACAGAGATGTAGTCTTCACCAGTCAGAACTCCCCATGAGTGTGGGTCAAGACAGGATGTCCCAAATTGCATTCCTCATCTGATTTACAAACTTCCTTCTTTTGTTTTCCCATCATAATCATCCTATTCTAATTTTTCACTGAGTGTCTCAGGCTCCAAATCGTCATCTTTGACTTCTGTTTCTCCTTAGATCCCTTTAATGAGATATCATAGTATCAAATTTTTCCATCCAATTCAAACCCATGCATATATCATGGAGTATGTGTCAGGTGTTCTGTTAGAAAATGGTGTTACAGACATGAAGAAGACATGGTCAGAGAGGTCCAGCATCAGTGTAGGAAGAAGGAAAATCGTAAGTGTAATCTAGAAGGAGGGAGAGACAGAACTTTAATTGGAGGTCCTCTAATCCTCACTAGATGAACCTCACTTCTTCATTCTCTAGGGAATGTATAAGCTCCATTCCCCTTTTGGGGAGCCTTGCTCTCTCACTCATCCTTTCTTTCATACCTTGCATCTATCTTGCTCCCCTGGTTGTTTCACAACAGCCTCAAACATGGTCAGGTATTTCCATTCTAAATAAATGCAGGCTGGGATTTGTCTCCTCCTTATGCTGCCAGTCTCTTCATTCCTTTCACTGTAATATTACAGTGAAACATTATCTCAATAAATACGACTATATGATGGCTAAATAAACTAATGAATGTTCACTATCCTATTTTTTTATGAGTTTGCACTGATGGTTTTCCACAGTTTGCACTGAGGGCTTTTCACAATCCTGTCCTTCAAGCTCTGGTTACCAAGTTAAGTAGCATTTTTCGGTCATCATCTTACTGATCGTTAAACCATTGAAACTCTTTTCTTCGGCCTTGTGTTTATCTAAGCTAGTATGATACACTTAAGTATCATGGGGCAGAGTTAGCGAACATAAATCAAGGAAGCCCCAACATTTATTTCTCTGTGTTTACCAGTACTGTCTTTTTGAAAAGTAGTATTTTAGGTGCTGTGGATTGCTTGCTGAATTAGACAGAGATATCCTTGCTCACACAGTGTGGGGAGACAAATGATTCACACATAAATAAATACACAAAATAATTTGTGATTCATGCTATGAAGGAAGTGAAAAGTGGGATGTGATGGAGAGCAACCCAAGAGGAAATGTGGCCACTTTTGAGTCAGTGGTTAGGCAATACCTCTTTAAGAAGATGACATTGGTGTCATGAAATGTGGTTCTAGTGCTGATCATGGGAATTTTTTGAGGTATTCTTCATTCGTTTTTAACCTTTCTAGTTTCTGGTAGAGTTTTATTTGGTTTGGGGTGCCCACTTTCTATCTGATCCACTTCTTTCATTTGAACTTAGTATTGGTGTTTGATCTGCTTGGATTAAGTATTGTGGGCACAAATATGTCTCACTCTAGTTAAATCTCATTTTCAATTGTGGCCCCTGCCCAGATTCCCCTTTAGGACTGCATATATCCCCCAATTGTAATAGAGGGATAATGATATGGGCACACTTGTTTTCTGGGCACCTGACACCTTATTTCATGGTTCTCCATGTATAACTTTGCATTTCTAGTTGGGCTTCGAGTATATATGAGGCATAGATTATCCTCTATATTAACCTAGATCAGTTTGGTCATGAATCTGTTACCTATTTCATATCTGCACTGCCATTGGGTCCTCACCTTTGCTCTGGTGAATTCAATTTTCTTTTCCTCCCTTGTAATTCCTTTTCCACAATGCATCCAGAATCATCCTTTTGACATTCAAATTTAAATCATTTATTGCCTTGTTTACAAAACCATATTGCCTTGTGATAAAATTAAAACAAATTCCTCTGCCATTCAAGACCCTTATAATTTAATAAGAATCATACTCTACCATTCCTTTCACAACCACTCCTTTTCCTTTTCCTAATACTTACCTCCTTCTCTCCCTTAGAAACCACACTCTGCCATCTTCCTTCATTCTCATGGTATTCTTGACTCTAAATATTACCTTATATGAACCCTTCCCCCAACCTTTTCTGCCAGGGGCTCTATATTCCTTCTGCCCTAGTTCAAGTTCCTCCGTTTTTGTGAAGCCCTCCATTAATCTTTAACTTGAATTAGTAGCTCTCTTTTCTGTGCTGTTAATATTACTTTGTACTTACATAGGTTTTTCTACTGTTTCTTAAATTTTTTTTGCCTTATCAAATATCAAAACTTATTATGAAGTTATTTTAATTCAGACAGTGTCTTATAAGCACAGAGATAAAGACATTGATCAATTACAGTGCCAAAAAAGAGACCTATGTATTTATGGCATCTTGATAGCTGGCAGAGACAACTCTACAGCTAACTGGACAAAAAACAACCTTTCAAAAAAATGATGTTGACACAACTGATCATTCAAATGGAAAAAATGAAAGTAAATTGAATCCATACTTTTTGTCATTGAACTGTTTCTTGATTATCTGATTAGATCATGTACTCCCCTTCTTCCCATACTTGTAGATATTAATGGATCAGTGACCATGTCAAATTCACATTTTGTCCTTTACAAGTCTTACAGTCTATCCTTGTGTCTGTTTTTAGCCTCTGCTCCTTTTGACTTTTTTCATTACTGTTTCTTTTTCAGTCTTTGTGTCAGTTCTCACATCCCTTTTTCTTCCATTGCTTTTTTTCTCCTCAACTTGTTTCTTCAAGCCAAGCTCCCATTTCCAAGCTTTTCCACAGATATGTGGATATTGAATTCCTTCCCTGAGTCTCTTAGAGTTTTAGCTCAGCTTTTAATTTAGACTTTGGCTTCCTGTGTGGTGGCAGGCCTGATTTTAAGATAAAATCAGGAAGTTATAAAACAAACCCTGAACCAAACTGGTTTTACTGTGTTTTTAACATGTTATTATCTTGTTAAGGCTTAAGGATCTTGAATTATATGTTAAATCATAACTCTCAAGTTTAAAAATCATCATAAGAAGAGGATTACTGATTATGAAATGGGTTGTCCTGTGTGTGTATGTGTGTGTGTGCCCCTGGGTGTGGCATCACACATATAAAGCCCTATTCATCACCCAACTGTCAGGGTGAGCCCTTCCTCTTCAACCCACTACTATGCAAATTCTTTCAGTTTCATTTCTCTGTCTTGCTCTCATTTCCCAGAAACAGTAGTCTTTTTGTTTTTGTTTTTAAATCAGAAGTGCCTTGGCAAGGATAGAAAGCTTTTCCACATAAGGAAATGTTGCAGGGTATTATAGATCCTGACTTGACTTCATTCTTGCAACAGAATTTTAATTTGGGGAAGCTTGCATTGGGGAATGAAAGGAATGATCAGGACAGAAGGGCCTAAATTAAATCCATGCTTTTTTTTTCTTTTTACTTTGGCGTGAAACTACATACCACAGCGGTAGTCAGGAACGCTGATCCTGTAGGTTACCTTTCAGAAGTAGCTTTCTGTCTCCTGGTGTTCCTGCTGTGAGATAATGGGAAATATTAGCCTTGGAAATTGCTGCAACACGAAGAAAGACTTTCATCATTTTGGTAGAGACTGAAATTTAAGAGAGATGCTGTGTCTCTTTTCTGCTCATGTTTTAGCAAATCCTGTTATTTTTTTGTTGTCTCAAAATGGGGAGACCCTTTAGGACACCTGGGCGACTGTGGTCCAAAGAGGGCCTCTTCAGCCTTTGAAATCCCATAGCTGTTGACCTCCAAATAAGTTAGGAAGGAACCAGACAGGTGGGACAGAAGCTGCAGCTGCTTTTTCTTTCTAAGACTTAGGACTAAGCCTGCTGAGCTAGAATTCTCATAGTTGTCAGTTCAAAGACATAGACAAAGTCATGTAGACTCCTCAATGATAGACAGTTTGCTTTAGATTTGGATAAATGTTGTTGTCACTGGGAGCTGAGGAGGGAGTCAGTGTGTGTCCTGTTACACTGTCAGGCTCCCTTCCCTCTTCACTCTGCCTGAGTAAGCTGTGCTGGGCGTTGTGTAGGAGTTGAGCATTCCAGCAGACATTCTTCAAGATGACCTTCCCTGAAGGGAGCTGGCAGATTACTGATATATCCTTATATTAGGAGATGATCTGCCAGTGACTTGGGAGCATCAGTTTTTACCCCAGTGGACACAGCCTTTGATCACGAAGCAGAAAAATACAAGTAAGATTTTTATATTGACTAGAGAAAGTATGATATGGAAATCAATCCATGTATTTAGTCCTTGCTAAAGACTAAGTCCCTGGATTTATGTAACCTAATAAGTTGATCTCTGCTCAAGATAATGCAAAGGCCTTTAATAGGTCTAGATAGATCCAGAACACACTATTATCTTCCTTAGGAGGAAATCACCTTTAAAGCTAAGGTGGGTGCCAAGATCCCTCCTTTCCACACCTGGCTAGAGTGTCTGAGAAGAAATCCTTTGAAGTCACCTAAAAAGTCAAACTTTATGAGTTCTAGCAAGGATCTATTAATAGCCACAGAAGTACATCTTTATTCAAGACCATGTTTTGTCTTTTCATTGGCTTATTCTCTAAGAAAAATACATACAAAATAGTGTGTATATCTGAGCACTGTGTGTAAGGCATTTGTTCTGACAGTTTACAAAGGCAACAGGCCATTCTTTGTGGTTTGTGTGCCTCAGAGGTGATGCTGAGGTTATGTGAATGAAGAAAAAAATTAGAGGCATGGGTGGTAGGAAGAAAGATAAAGAGAAGACAAAATGTCCTTAATTCTTGTCAACTTTACTGATGCCTACAGAAGAGGACTTGGGGGTTGGAGGTAGATTATTTGCCCATACTTTGCAGTGCTGAAAAGATTTTGACAGTGGTTTCTTCTCCTGTCTATCATACAGTTTTAGTCTATTTCAATGACAAATTATAGAAATAGATTTAAAGAAGACAGGCATCTATTCATGAAAGGCACAAATTTCAGCAAAGTAATGCAGTGTTAAGGATTATAAATATATCCTCACTGCTCTGCCTGATTGAACTGCACTGGGTTTTAAACCAACTTAGAGTTAAAAGTATGAGTTAATATTTCAAAGTAGTTGTTTTCAATCTTCATTTTGCATAAGGATCACCAGAGGACATGTTAAAAATGTGGTTTCCTAGCCCCATTCATGGAGAACCTGACATGAGAAGTCTAGCTTATTGCTGAGAAACTATGATTTTTATAAACACTACAATTTTCATTTTATAAACTCTGCCAAGTGTTCAATCACAGTGAAAAAACACTATTCTACAAAGGCATTTTTAGTGGAGAAACGGCAGGAGTGTAAAAAATTAGCCTGCTCTTCCTGATGGACTGAAAATGAAGATAACTCATTTGAGACATTTTGCTTCTTAGTTTCCAACTGAAGTATTCTTTCTGTCTCAGTATTTGAATTAATACACTTGATGGTTCAACTATTGGATGCTAGAATATTTAACTAGGGATTTTTCAGAATTTAACTTCAAAGGATAAAGAACTGGAAAGTGTTATAAAGAACTATCAAATTCTTCAAGGAGGCAGGCAGGCTAGATCCAGAAGTGCTGCTAACATGTGGCCAACTTTAATATGGTCTCCAGAAAGAGAGATCAAAAAGGATGTTGGAGAAAAATCATTAAAGAAACAACAGAAGAACATTTCCCAGAGCTTCCGTATGGCCTAATTCTTTATAATAAAATTATGCGTCAAGTGTTGTGCAGAATTAGCAACAACGACAACAACAACAACAACAACAACAACAACAACTACAACTCTGTTTAGGTATATCCTGAAAATATTCTCATACTCTTAGAATAAAAAGTAAAGTGTTTATATATTAAAGAAATGACCAAACTGAGTTGTTCACTGATAACTTATAAGCAGACTGATGTCAAAATTCCCAGCAGCAGCATGCTATTACTCCATGATATTACAGCACTATTTATAGAATTCTTAAGGAGTATAATTTGGAACCTAAGATTATCTGTCAGCCAAGTTAGCAAAGGGTAAAGTAATGCTGATAGTATAAATAATTGTTGTAGAATGTAAAAATTAAAAACAATTGTAATTACAATTCCACTAGTTCAATATAGGAAGTGGTAGTATATGTGATGATAATGTGTGTGTGTGTGTGTTCTGTGTGTGTTGTGTGTGTGTGTGTGTGTTTGGTGGTGATGAAAGTTAATATGTACCAAGTTGACCGAAAATTATTTTTGAGTATATCAGATAAGAATGATGATTAGTTATGACATAAGGGTGATTACATTCTAACTAGTATAATAGTACAACGAAATAAGTCTCAATAGGTATCACAAAGGTAGAAAAGAAAAAAGTTCAAACAAACAAGAAATATGGATACATGTAAAATAAAATGACAATAAACCATGTTTTCCATTCCTTTGCCAATAGAACTGTGTGCACATATGCATCAAGACATATACACTAGAATGTTTATAGCAGTACTACTCATAAACGTCAAAAACGGGAAACAACTCAGATGGCCATTCACAGCCAAATGGGTAAATAAAGTATGGCATATTCATAAAATAAAATGTTTTACAATAATTGGAACAAATATCACAGCAACACACAACAATATGGGTGATTCTCACAATTTTAAGTTTTGAAAGAAGCCAAATACAGAAGAATGCATACCGTATGATTCCACATGAAGAAAGATAAACACCTGGCAAAACAAACTTATAATATCAGAAGTCTGAGCAGTGACTCGTGTAAACCTTTAGGAAGTAGAGAGGATTAATGATAAAAAGTAGACAGGGGTATGAGAGATTGTTCTGGAATATAGGCAGTGTTCTAATAGTCCATTTGGTCATGCTTACGTGGTCATTCATTTTGTGATACTTCACTGAAGTGTAAATGCTCGTATGCTCTAATCTGATGGCATGATATTCTATCTGGTTTGAGAAGTCATTGGCAGGTGGAGGAGGAAGGATCAAAGAGACCAAGAGAAAGGACCAAAGCAGTCTTTGTATTGTTCGTATGAGGACGGTCAAATCAACCTGTGCCCGTCCCAATTAAGTAATGTTGCAGGCAAATGTTTTTTGGATATTGGACTCAAATCTTCTACCATGACATAAACAGAAAGCAGACAATTTCAGACCTTAAATGAAGAAGCCCCTGAGAACTTGCGTGTTATTTCTTGAGTGGTCTGAGAAGCCTGGACATGGTCAGTCTAAGTTAGATTTGAAGGTACAGTTGAACAGGAGTAGAGAAAGACTTGTAGTCTTTTGGGATAAGGGTCAGGTCACCGGGAAGTAGTGATCTTCAGAGACTGGCAGGTAGGCATAGGCTTATTAACTGACTAATCCTCTCTAAAAAGGAGCACACAATTCTTTCTTTAATTTCTTATTGTTTAAGAAATACACAGAAAGTAGTGTGGACACCAAAGTGACAGAACATGCATCATTGCATCAGATAAGAACTTGTATTTAGAAATCTTCTCTGACATCCCCTAACTCAAAGTTTCCCTTCTAACTATTACACGACCTCAGGTTCTGGACTTGTGTGAGTAAAGAGGGAGAACTGGGAGAATAGGCCTCTCAGCTGTATTCAGCAGAAATTTGTTGTAGAAGGAATATAATTGCCCGTGAATATGCCACCCCTAAATCTGCCACTTTGGCATGTGGATTGTTCTGAGCTGAAGGCAGTTAAGACTCAGCAGCCTCAGGAAAAGCTTTTTACGTCCCCTTGTACTGCCTAAAAGAATTTATATAGAGGGCCTGTACCAGAAAGAGCTATGACCAGAGATAACTTTTTGTATCAGCAAGATGTAGCTGCATGGCATGGCAAACATTTATTTACCAGTCATTTGCTCTTCTCATCTTCCTGTGAGCTGTCTTCCTCCCTTTGAAGCCCCAGACCCGTACTTTCTACTCCTTAGCTTGGGATGGTATATATGCTTCAATTGCCTGACTGCCTTTGATTCTTCATGTCTTGGTGGGGATTCCATAATTATGTAATTAATTTGAATTTTCTCCTGTTAATATGTTTTACATCAATTACATTATTAGACCAGCCATAAACTGTAGAAGGGAATTTGTTTCCTCCCCTATAACTTTCTATTACATGAGTGCTTCCCAGGACACTATATTCCTAATGCAATTCAGGTTTCTCCTTATTTGTGAAGCCTTTGATTAATCTTCCAGCTCAAGTTAATATCTCTCCTCTCTAACAATATTAAAATGTTCTTGAGTCCTTTATTCCTAGAAAGCAGTGATAGTTAAAGAAATCCATCCACCCTTTTGTGTTTTGGGAATTAGTTTACTGCAAGGAGACACCTTTTTCCGAGGTGACTTAGATAAGACTCCCTTGTGTGTTCCTTTATTACTTATAATGAGTCCAGACACTGACCCTTTAAATTCCCATTCCTTGCCTCATAAATGGCTAGCTGAGCTGTTTCTCCCCCTGACAAATTGAAATTGCTTAAAACTAAATGTTAGTTAAGCGTCTCTCCTTTCCAGTTCCCTCCTTCTGGCCTAGCATACAAACTCTCCTTTATGATCCCTCCTACTAATAAAACATTCCCTGATCATCCCAATCCCTCTGGACTGTGTTCTTTCTAGCCTTGTCAACCCTTTCCCACAAAATCCCTTTCTGCCTGGCTTTTGAGATGCTTGCAGCTCTATGTTTGGATTGTTTTCTCCATTGCAATAGTCTCTTTCCCCTTATTGCAATAAAACTTTCAAATAAAGTCTCTTTTTACATAAGTCTAGATTTATTTTTATTTGGTAATACAAATTACCAAATGATTTGTTTGTTTCAATGATGTACTCCCTTTTCCCCAGACTTGAAGCTGTTTATTGGAGCAATGAGAATGCCAGATTCATATTTATGTTCTTAGCATGCCCTAATCTGCTTTGTCTCTGACTGTTCCCTATGCCTATTTCCATCAATTTCTGTTTCTATTTTAGTCTCTGTGTGTGTAGTTGTATCTCCCTGTCTACCCCATTTCCCTCCTTTTCCTTCACCTACCTGTCTCCTTGAGGCCAAGCTCCTGTCTTCAGGTTGCTCCAGAGAGACTAGTAAGAACGTGGAGTCGATTCCTTCACCACTAAGTATGGTAGTTTGCTGACTGAAATCTGCAGCCTATATGTCTGCTCCCTCTGTGGTAGCAGGGACTGAATTCATACTCTAAGCAGGAAGGGAAAAACTGGTTTCACTTTTGTGTTTGTGTTTCTTTAAAAACAACTCAACAGATTAAAGAATCCTGCTTGCTTTTGTATTTATATTTATATTTTGGTCCTTGGGTGTTAAAATTACAGCAGATATAAGTCTAATGTTGGTGTGTATGTTTTTGTGTGTGTATATGTTTGTTTGAGTATCAATGATGAGGGTGAGGTGAGCACCAGAGAAAGAACATGGCAGAAACAGAGTAGGGAAAGAATTTGGAAGGAGACACTTGGGCATATTAGAGTGTCTTCCTCAGGGAAATTGCTTTAACTGCTTTAGTGTTCTAGTTCTCAAGTCACCCAAGGATAAAGAGAGAAGCATGCTTCCCATGCGAGTGGAACCTGTTAGTTTTTATATCCTGTAAAAGACCTTGCTAGAATTAGCTGTTTTTCTTGTGGTTGATTTGAAGATTAACAAAATTTCCAACATTATTAGCTGGCTTGGATGACTCAGCCCTAAAGTGAACTTAAACTCTTAAAAGTATATTATTTGCTTATGGTGAGAAAGAGAATTTCACTGTTTTCTATATTTTATATTGGAGCTTTTTAGTAATGTTAAAAATCTGGCTGTTTTCTTTGATTAGGGAAAGTAAAGATGAGTTAAAGAAATGGAAGTATATCCTATGCTTTGTATTAGAAGAATCATTATTGTTAAAATGGCCATCCTGCTGAAGGCTATCTACAGATTTAATGTGAACCCTATCAAATTATCCATGACATTTTTCACAGAACTAGAACAAACAATCATAGAATTTATATGGAATCACAAAAGACCCAAAATTGCCAAAGCAATACTGAAGAAAAATAATGAAGCTGGAGGAATAAGCCTCCCCAAATTGAGACAATACTACAGAGTTACAGTAATCAAATAGCATGGTATTGGCATAAAAACAGACATATGGATCAATGGAACAGATAGAGAGCCAAGAAATAAAGCCACAGACCTATGGTTAATTAATCTTTGACAAAGGAGGCAAGAAATACAATGAAGAAAAGACAATCTCTTCAGCAAGTGGTGTTGGGAAAACTGGATAGCAGCATGTAAATCAATGAAGTTAGAACACTCCCTCACACCATCCACAAAAATAAACTCAAAATGGCTTAGAGACTTAAATATAAGACAACACACGATAAACCCCCTAGAGGAAAACATAGGCAAAATATTCTCTGACATAAATCTTAGCAATGTTCTCCTAGGGCAGTCTACCTACGTAATAGAAATAAGAGAAAAAAATTAACAAATGGGACCTAGTTAAACATGTAAGTTTTACATAGCAAAGGAAACCATAAGCCAAACAAAATGTCAACCTATGGAATGGGAGAAAATATTTTCAAATAATGTGACTCACAGAGGTTTAATTTCCATAATATAGAAACAGCTCATACAACTTAATAAGAAAAAAACAAACAACTCAATCCAAAAATGAGCAGAAGACCTAAACAGTGAATTCTCCAATGAAGACAAACAAGTGGTCAATAGGCACATGAAAAAATGCTAAGTATCACTGATTATCAGAGAAATGGAAATCAAAAGTACAATGAGGTATCACCTCACACCAGTCAGAATGACCATTATTCAAAAGTCAACAAACAATAAATGGTGGAGAGGGTGTGGAGAACAGGGAACCCTCCTACACTGTTGATGGGAATGTAGTTTTGTGGGGCCATTATGGAAAACAGTATGGAGATTACTCAAAAAACTAAAAATAGACTTACCATATAATCCAGCAATCCCACTTCTGGGCATAGAATTCCTGGGAGGGAACTGTAATTTGAAAAGATGCATGCACCTCAATGTTCATAGCAACTCTATATACAATAGCCAAGCCAGGGAAACCACCAAAATGTCCATCAACAGATGACTGGATAAAGAAATACTGGTATATTTATACAATGGCATACTACTCAGCCATAAAAAGAATAAAATAATGCCATTTACAGCAACATGGATGGACTAGTGATCGTCATTCTTAGTGTAGTAAGCTGGACAGGGAAAGAAAAATACCATTAGATATCACCCATATGTGGAATCTAAAAAAAGAAAAAAGAGGACAGTAGTGAACTCACCTACAAAACAGAAGCAGACTCAGACATAGTAAACAATCTTATGGTTACCGAAGGAAAAGGGATGGGATGGGATAAATTTGGGAGTTTGAGATCTGCAAATATAAGCCACTATATATAAAATTAGATTTTAAAAAAACCAAGTTTCTTCTGTATAGCAAAAGAAACTATATTCAATATCTTGTAATAACCTTTAATGAAGAAGAATATGAAAATGAATATATGTATGTATATACATGACTGGCACATTGTGCTGTATACCAGAAATGGACACATTATAACTGATTGTACTTCAATTGAAAGTTTTTTAAAAAAGAGCATAGTAAACTTACATTTTATGACCAAAAAAAACTGTTTTCCCTCAAACCTAAATCCCATTTAAAACATTTTGTTTAATTGATTATTATCTTACTCCATGATCTAATTCATTTTGATACTGCTTGTAGATCAGAACCTTCTGTTCCATTATTTTTCTTCTGTTTCAAACTCTGTGTCTGACACATGCATGTCTTCTTCCAGGTAAACCTCAAACTCATTTTTCCCAGTTCTTCTAGAAATTCTACCCACATCATTTCACATTTCCCCTTTCCACTCCCAGCACAGCCTCACATCTCCACTACATGGACTTACACTGAGCTCTTCTGAGCTGTGCTCTCAGAGCACTAATTCCGCTCTTATGATGCACCTGTCATTGTGCTGCACTGTAGCTAATTCTTGTCTGTCTGATTTCTTTCATCCCCCAAACCTCAAGCATCCCACCTCCCTGTGCTGCTTCCAGTTTTGGGGGATCTGTTACTCATCTTTATATTCTTAGTTCCAGACATAGTGCATGAAATATATAGATGAGCAAGATGTATGATGATTGAAATAAGGAAATTAGCATATCTGTCTGAGGTTGTTTCCTCAGTTGTATGTGAGGCTATTAGTAGCTATTTCAGTGAGTTGACATGAAGCACAAAGGTGTAAGGAGGGCTGGCATGGTGTCCTACCAATAGGACTTACCTTCTCCTACTTTTAGAGTAGGAACACAGGTGTTATGTAATAAGCAAGAGTTTTAATGTCAGTCATTAATTTGAGTCCAGGATCCAATAGTTACTAGCTATATTAGCTTACGTCTTGGGTGTGAGGAGGGTGACCTAAGTAAAGAGAAGCAGCTGAGTGGTGGAATGAATTTGTGCCAGTAGCACAATCTCCCTCACGTAACATTAATGAGGCTAAAATGGGATAGGTGAATCTCACCCAGTGCTTGGCCTGAAGCAGATATTCAAATATGAATTCTTTTTTTCCAAGCATGTCATTGGTTTGAAGATCAAATCTATCAGAAGAAACATCAAGGGGAGTGTCTCCAGCTGCAGTGTTCCCTTCAGCGTTTAATTTGAACCTCTGAGTATTTCCAATGTATAAATTAGTGAGTAGGGTAAAGTAATCCCATAGACTGAAAGTCAGATTCACGAACAAGTTCATTTCACCACACAGCTGCCTCTTGTTACTCAGGTCAAACCCCCATACAAAGAACAGACTTTTGGTTTCATTTCTCAGTTTTGTCTCAGTTCCAGGAAATGTTTGTTTTTATCGTGAACAACAGTTAAGTGATTAGTGAATGTTTTTGTAAGATATTTTCTCTCAGCCTTTTTCCCTTTTTTTTTCTTTTTTACTGCCAGTTTTTAACTAAAGTTCTCTTTGAAAAATTCTAGCCTTATTCTGAATAAACTGAGGGAAAAGGAATTCACCCAGACCTCCCCAGTGATACTAGAGAGAGCCAATGACCCATCCAGGGGCCCATCTAGGTTGGAACTCAGGTGAGGCAAGAGAGGAGCCTCGGGTACAAGGGAACTCAAGAGTGAGGGAGTGTTCAAATTTTGCAGTCTAGGTGCCTCACTTGCTTCATCCTAATTTCAACCCTGCTTTTAGCTTTGACTAAAAATCCTGAGGAGTGGGCCACTCCATCTCTAGCCATTGATTATAGAGAGAAAGGCAGCTGAGGCCACCAGGTCTCTCCTGCCTGGCCTTTTTCACTCCTTCTTTCCTCTAGCTGGCTCATCTTCTACTTGGAGAATATATCTTTTAAGGGACTGTGTTAGCTTCTTCTGAAATCTGGTGAGTGACTCTTGCCAACAGAGTAAGGGGTCAGGGAATATTTTTCCTCTTTCCCTCTTCTTTCTTTTAGCTGGTCAAATAATTAAAATGATATAAGACAGATTATCAGGAGAAAGTCAAATTTAACACATGTATATGGAGAATTAAGCATAAGAAATTCAAAAGACAATAAGGCAAGATGAAGTATTTTTATACATCATATTGGACTAAGGAGAAGGAGATAGGGGTCTGAGACTTGAAAGGGAAGTAAGGTAATTCACAGGGAGATGTAGAGATTTGATATTTGTTAGAGAATGTTTGCTGGGCCATCTAGGAACAATGGGACACAGAGAGGACTTTGATCAAACTGGCCTTGCTAAGTCCTCCCTGTCTACCAGGGTGTACTAGTTCATAGTACACTATAGTTATTTATAGTGATACCCCTCCTGGAACAGGATGTCTATTAAATTCATTTAGAAAGTTAAGTGGAAGTTCAAAGGTTCTTCCTGAGTCTTTTGGGACTTGCTTGTTTTCAGCTGAAAATAATCTGCCTGCCAGAGTGGTACTGCTTTGAGCATGCTGCCCTAACCCCATGAAAAGAGTGAGACCAATAAAAATCAGATAGTCCTGGTGTTTTAGTAAAAACCCTTTCCTCCTTTGTTTCAACACCGATGTGTAGGGGCTTTCTCCACACCAAGCGATTCTGCAACACCGGCTGGGTGTCTTACAGTTCAACTTGATTCTGACACTATCTTCCTGGATATAGTGTAAGATTTTATA